GCATCTCCAGGGGCAGAAGTGCTTGTCCTTTTTTTATATGGATCTTGACTTACAAGTACTCACTTTGCATCACTTGGTCAAAACCCTCAGATCTTTAGTAATTCTAATAGGTAGCAAGCAACTTAATAAGCCTGTCTTCCAGGGTAAGATTAGAAATAGTGGAGGGTTTATAGGGTTTGATTTTTTTGTTGGTTTTTTTTTTTTTTTTTCCCCTCTTTCTCTTTGTGGTTTTTTTTGGTTGGTTGCTGTTGGTTTTTTTTGTAGTCCCCTGGAAGAAGCTCTTTACGAAGTCCTTAATTTGAAAGTAACTAAGGAAGTATTTTGATATTTCCATTTGGAGTTGACTTTTGGGGTGCTTTTTTAAAAAATAAACTAAAAATCCAAGTTCTTGTTTTCTCCACATGAAATGTATTAAAATACTTATACATATAATGCTCTTAGGGAATGCCATCTATTTGCATTTGGATTTATTATCTTGAATTTAGCATGCACCACTTTAGCTGTGCTGGTTTTTTCTCCTTAGCTCCACAGTCTCATCAGTGGTATTCTTGGGGTCCTCCAAATATGCAGTGTAGATTGTGTGCATCTTGCTGGATTTATTGGAAGAAATATGGTGGCCTGAAAATGCCCACACAGACAGATGAAGATAAACTGTCTTCCAGCCAGCCTACAGAGGTAGGATTGCATAGTTAAAATTTCTTAAAATGGGGTGTGTTGCTTTCCCAAGACTGCTGTGATTTTAATATTTAATGAATGGTTTATTATGTATGTGTTCAACTTTAGTGTTACAAAACTTAATTTATTAGTCCTTTTGCTGTGTTAAGTAGAGCTGAACAGCATGCAGGTCCTGCCGTGTCTTTGTATGACCAAGTCTTAGATAAACAAACATCCACTTAGTACATTTTTAGTGGACAGATGTCATCTTGTAAAAATCAAATAGTGTGTTATCTATAAAATTTTAATGTGGCTATAGTGTATCTCGTACAGAATGGCATTATACAGCCACTCACAATAGAGCTTTCTACTGTGTTATTCCACTTCGTGCATAAGCCCTAGTTGTTTTGTATAGTGCTTATACATATCATTTGATTAAACTTGTGAATTTACCCAAATTGTGGATTTTTTTTTTAATGCTGTAATTCAGCTGTACATATTATGATTTTTTTTGTTTTGTTTTTGTAGGAATCCCATGTTAGAACTCACATGTCCCGGCAGGCCACACAGGGAACTCCAGTTCGTAACACTGGAAGTCCAAAGTCGGCAGTGAAAACACGTCAAGCTTTCTTTCTTCACACAACGTGTTGGACAAAACTGGCCCGTCAGGTCTGCAAAAATACCCTCCGGCTGCGGCAGGCAGCAAGACGTCCCTTTGTCCCTATTAACTGTGCTGCCATTAAGGCAGAATGTAAGATGTTTTTTTAATTCTTAGTTCAGTGTGCTGTGCTTCCCACCCATTTTTGTCTTTTAATTTTATTTTCTTTTTCAATAAACATTTCTTGTCTATACGCTTTTGCTTTTCATTTTTTCATTTGTCCAGCATATCACCAACACACTGGATAAAGTCTGGCTGCCTTGAACAGATTTCAGGCTGGGGAAACGTTTCAAATTAATTAAAAAGGGGGTAACTATTACCTCATTCACTTAGAAAAAATGTTCATTGAAAAAAAAATCTGGAGTAGGGAGGGGGAATCAATGCCATGACATAACAAACTCTAGGCAATGTGAAAGAAGTTCGCTTTTGCATTGTTCATTTATTCGTTCACTGAGCAGAAAGTATAGATCTGTACACGTTTTAGTTTTTCTTAGTGGGGTTGGTCAAGGAATAAGGATCTGAAGATACAGAAGAGTTTAAATCTGGCCTGTAATACAGCCCTTTGCTCCCGTGGTGATCAGATGGTGGTGATAGCAGTGTTTATTATTTCATCATAGTTGCATCTTTTTTTTTTTTTGTATCAGTTTTGAATTTTAGTTTTAAATAAAATTCTATATTATGCTTGTTCTTTTTACAGCCAAAATAGAAAGAACAGATAAATTCACTGGTAGTATGACAAAAGGTTATGAGTTGTTGTAGATAGCAACAGTAAATCTCTTTATGAGCATTTATGTGTAAGTTCTGCTGCAAAGTCACTCAGTATTTCAGCAGGCTTTGTACCTGCGCTGGGCGTGTTGTTTTACTGCTCACGCTGTTTGGTTGTGGTTCCCAGTTGTCCATGGATGCGGTTCTCGGAGCAGACGCTTGCTGTTCCAAGAGGAGCTGTGCTGGCTCGTCGTGCTGTCAACTGTATTAGAATTGAAGAGACCTTTTTAGAATATTAGATGTCGGGTTAGAACCATGTTTACTAGATTAACGCAAAATGTTTCCCAGCATATTTAACTGGGATGCCAGTGATGTCGGTATTGATTATAAGAAATTTACTCCATGGAGGCTTAAAATCTGGTTTCAAGTAATTATTTTGCCCTTATGTACTTTAACACCAGCCGTTCTTCACAAGCAAACTCTTCACCTGCTTCTGTAGTTGTATAGAACTTGGTGAATATTTCTGTTCATTGTCCTTGTCTATTTATTTAGTTGTCCTTTTTGGCCATTTTCTTTCCTCTTTCAAAGCTGTGCAAGTCAGGAGCAGCCTTCAGATTTAAGGAAACCGTATGTCCACTGTGTGAATAAAATGGGTTGGACTTTATGGAAGAAGTGTGCCTAAAGCAGGACTAGGATTATGTTTTTAATCCTTAATACAAAATAAGAGTAGTATTATACCTTTTAATTTATGTAATTGGCACTGATTTCTGCTGAATCATGGAGGAAAATTAGTTTTAGAAGTTCACTTGAACCTTGAATCTTTTTTACCCATATCCCTATTTCTTCTCAGTCACTGCAGTAACTCAGTTTGAAAGAAGATGAAGCTTTTGTTTAAGGAAGAGAAAAAAATAAAGAAAATAAATGTTTCATTTAAATCTACTCGAACTGTTAATCATCATACTAGGACAAGTGTTACATACACAGTTCGACTTTAAAACAAAGGAGTGAAAAGCTGAGCTTTTCAGCATGAAATAGTCATTCTTGTATTAGACTGGCAGTGCTGCGAGTGCTTCCTCTTTGTTCCTTTGAATGAAAAAGTGCCACATCAGATTAACATCAAGAGCTGAAAGATTCCCCCCGCACCCCCTGTAATCTCTGTCTTTCATTATTCTTTTTGCTTAAAGCAAGATTTGGACCTTGCAATTTTGTCTTTTTGAATGTTGATGCTTCCTGATTAGACCTAACATAGACTGAGAAATAAAAAAAGCCACAGTTGTCAACGTTTTTTGAACACAACATTCAAGTTATTTTATGATAGTGGAAACTAGATTATCCCTCAATTAATTTAACTCATGTTTCTCTGTGTGTACACACACATGCACCTATTCTGTTTCTGGCAATATCTCTCTGAAATCGTACAATGCTCTTACCTGCATTGTCATTGTCATATTCTTACTCTAGTAAAGCCTGGTAAGTAAATAAAAAACCTGTTTTCTAGTTTTGTGCCTGTACTTATATCTGGTGACCTGTGTTCAGTGCACTCTGAGATTTTAATGTTACAACTAAACAGGCTCTCTTTTTCTGAGAATGCCTCTTTTAAGGATGCCTTGATGCAAGTAATTTTTAGATTTTTCAATTTTTAAATGAGATATTGCATTAACAGTAATGATTTCCTATGTTGAATATCACGGAGTAATTACAATATTGAATGAATGTCTGTATTGGTGTTACAAAAGTTATCTAAGCATGCTTAGATAATAACCTGGCCAGAGTAGCAGGTCACCCATGATGTGATACAACATGAGATGGTTAAGATGTCCAAGAACTGATTTGGAATTCATTTTCCATGTTGGTGTGTGGAAACTTGAATCTAATGACTGCTTAGATGCTTTGTCAGGCTCACCTGACTCTGTGTGCCAAGCCAGTGCTTGAAAACATACCTGCATTTCACAACTATACAGCAGTAGGCACCATACCAACACTCAGAAACCATAAAATCTAAACACAGAAGGCTGGTAGGGCACTTGCCCCAGCAGCCTATCAGGTTTTATGCCTCCTTAGCCATACACGGTTGGTTGAAGTGCCAGGTTGTAAATGAAACCAATTCCCAGTTCTGAGGGAAAAAAAGAAAGCCTGAAAAAGCCAGTTAGAGCTTGCTCATAGAGTAAATTGATTTTTTGCAGTCCACCTGAACTCATCTGCAGGTACTTCTTTTGTTTGGGAGGGACATGGAAGCCTCTGAGAATGAGGTCTCAGGCCCAACCATCTTTTAGGTGAAACCAGATTTCAGACAGTGCATTTTTTTATTACTGTAGTTCCACCCCCATCGTCTCCCTTGGCCCATTACATCCACTGGCAGAAAACAAGGTCCTATTCTATGTTCTTTATTCCTTCAGTTAGTGCAGAGAGTTAGATTTTTCTCATTAGTGAACCATATAGCATGACCCCTGCTCAGATGCCAGCAGGAGGTATTGGAGACGATGCGTTTACATCCCAGCTCAGTCGAGGGATGGTCACCCGGAGGTTGAGAAGGCATGGCACCTCCTGCTACGAGCACAACCCGTCGTGGGAATCTCAGACTTTGTTCTGCCTGAAGATAATAGACTCGCTGTAGTTGTTGACAATGAACTTGTCTGATGGATTTTCAGCAATAATTAGAATTGGTGAACTGTTTGGTAAGAGGATATTCCCATGCTCTAAATTAGGCAAAATACCCTCTTTTTAGTTTGAATATATGGCACATTTTTTAGAAAGTTAAGCAAAACTGTCCTGTCTATGGAAGTTCTCTTAATTAGAGGAAACTGAAGTGGGCATTCTTGTCCAGGCAGTCAATGACAAGATTGGATCAGTTTGTGGCTTACAAGCGTGTTGGTACATGCATGGCAGTGAGCCGTGTGTCTGTGAGCCTTAGTACTTCAGCACAGGAGGATTTTTGAGGGATTTATTTTTTTTTTTTTCACCTGCTTGGATATAGTTTCATCAATACAACTGTATGTACTATATAGTAATTTAAATTTGGGTAACTACACTTCATCTATGTGGGCAAGATTGTCAAAATGTTTTCAGTGGATGGTAATGTATTATCTGTATTACATATATATAGTTACCTGGAAATGGGTGTACTGTTCATGATCGAAACTTAACATCCCTTTAAATCTGCAGATTTAATACCAAGTTTGATACACTCTGCTTGCTTGTTACAACGTGGTTTGATAAAACAAAGACAGGTGAAAATTAGGTAGAGTATGCAAAATGTTACTGAATGTCTTTGTAAGCCTATGTTTTATTGACATAAAACTACCCATTCATCTGAAGTGAGTAACATTTGTGGGTATTGGTTTACAGTGTTTTATCTCCTTGATTTCAATAGTTTCAAAAGATCTTTTGGGCTGCATCTAGGATGAAAATATTTTTTCTACTGTTATTTATGAGTACAAATTGCGCTGGATTTTAGTAGCCAGTAAAATAATTAAAAGAACACACTTTTTTCCCTCTGAGTTTATAAGAAGAATACATGGAGCACAGTACATTCATTAGATAATCTGAATTTTGATAGAGCTATGATGGAATGTCAAAGAGAAATATCTCCCCAGTGAGAGTCTCTCTAAGCTTGAGACAGACAAATCTGGTTTAAAAAAAGAAATCATTAAAACACCCTTTCAAATCTAAAAGAGCAAACCTCATTCACTATCATCTTCTCCACAGCATTCCTGATTTTGTTGACCTCTGTGGTACCCATGACAGTCATCACTCTTCTAGGTTGAGAAAATTCTATTTAAAACCTCATGAAGAGTCCATTTCAAACTGTGGTTCATAATGTGGTTCCTTGGAGTTTTTCTAATTGTACTCTACCCTCTTTAGGGTTGTGGTGCCCCAAATTACATGCACTTCAAGTTGCAGGTTTCTCATCATTTTAGTGTCACATGTTTCCTATTTTTCTATCATCATAATTTCTAATGTTCTGATTTTAATTTCTTTTTAAGCGACCACTCTTTGGTATTGTCTAGATATTTTTAAAAAGCTGTTGACACTGACTCCATGAATTCTTTTCTGCATGGTGGTAGTGTAGAACCCATCGTCATATCTGTATGTTACAGTCATTTTACCCCTTAAGAATTAATTTGCATTTATTGCTTGATGCTGCTGTTATCCTATGCAATCTGTTTTAACGTTGATTATGCTCAGTGATTTCTTATCAGGAAACTTTCCACTCTCTAATCATCTCTTTTACTGATCTTTTTGTGTGTTGAACACCACAGATCCTTTGGGGATTATAGACAATTGATTTTAATCAGATGCTAATCCCTGAAAAAAATTCTGTTACTTTATAACAGCTGGACAGCAGTGGTCTTTGGTGACACACTATTAAAAGCTACTTGAAATGCCAAGTTGGATGCCAGATCAGCTGCATGGGTACATGTCACAACTCCTTCAGAGGATCCTGGCAGACCTGTGACACTTGCAATGACTGGTTTACAGGACATGTAGGTAGGAAGGGACCTCTGGATGTCTCTAATCCCACCTACTGCATAAAATTCTTGTGCCCATGGGCCTTTTGTCCAGATGAGATTTGTGTATCTCCAGGGACAGCTGCTCTGGACTCCTGTTCCAGTGTTTGATCAGCCTTACGGTAAACAATCTTCTCCTTACGTCTAACCAGAATTGCCCTTCTCCCAGCTTGTGTGTGTCGCCACAGACAGCAAGAGCGTGTTGTCCTGTCCCTGCGGACCTCTGAGAAGGGCCTGGCTTGCTCTTCTGCAGGCCCTGCCGCTAGGTAGTTGCAGGTGGCAGTCAGGTCTCCCCTTGGCCTTCTCATCTCAAGGCTGACCAGACCCAGTTCTCTCAGACTCTCTGTGTACGTCCTGTACGCCAGCCCCCAACCAGCTTGGTGACTTTCCAGTAGCTGGACTTGCTCCGGTATGTCTGTGTGTCTCTTGTAGGGGGGATCCCAGAACTCGGCACAGGGTCTGGACGTGGTGTCACAAGGGTGGCAGGGAAGGGTTACCTCCCTCGCTCTGCTGGCTGCACTGGTGCCAGTAAGGCCCCGTATAGTCGTCCTTCTCGTGTGCAGTCATCCTTCTCGTTGCAAGGACGCACCGCTGAATAATGTGAACACATTAAGCCTGTTTTCCCTTCCCAAGGTCTTTGTTGGCTCCCTTGGTGTTTCCATGTTTAGCTGTATGACTCTATTAATAGTTCAACCCTTTTGCCAGTCTGCAGACCTGCTTACTGAAGAATGTTACCACGTTGGCCGTGGGTTTTGTTCTCTTGAACCGAGACCAGTTTAAGCATTAGTTAAAACACCAGTACTGTACGTGCTCAGCAGTTTCTGTTTGGATGCGTTCCACCTGGTCCTGGTAACTTGTTTTTATTCATTAACCAGTTTGTTTTGAAGTATTTCCTATGGACACTTTGATGTGACCCAGTTCTCCTACCTTTCTCATAAAATGATTCTTTAAGTTCTTCTGCAGTGAACACTGATGCAAAGACTGTATTCATCTTTTTTTTTATATATATTTTCCTCAGACCTTGATCATCTCCTGTTGCTACAGGCACTAGACACTTTCTGCTTTTGATATGTTTGAAAAAATACACTATCAAGTATAATACTCCTCTTTTAATTTTTTTTTTTTTTCCCTCATAGCTTCCACTGTTTCACTGATCTTGCTAGGGTTTTTATTGTTCATGTGGAAGCCCATATTTGATTTTAGGACTGGTTTTAATTTTGTTTTTGACAACTTCCTACCTAAATTTTATTCTGTGGTTTTACACTTGAGAGTGGTGCACAGTCTAACCTTTGTGTTTTACACATTCTTTGTGTAGTGCATAAAGATCATAAAACTTATTATATTTTTATGGGAGTATTTTTTTTATTGTGGATTAAAATTTGCTGCTGTTAAACATATTCAGCTATTTTAATAGATAGATGTGCTTTGGAATACCCACCTGGTACCTTTGGTGAAGACGCTTTCTCTCAAGCTTGGAAATAGTGCTCTCTTTGCAGTCTGTATTCTCAGTCAGCATATTAATATTTCACCATGATTCAATGTCTTTTTTTACAGTGAAGACACGTAGATGGAAAATTTTCTTGCTAATTACTTCTTAGGCGATGCTTCACTGTTCCCAAAGTAACTATAAAATACTTACTGTATAGTCTGTGCTTATTTTACTAAGGGAGACGGTGGAGACACATCATTTTACTCTGTCACTTAAAATATTTCAAGTGTTGTGGAATATTAAAAATATTTCAGGCACCAGATTCAGTGCATTTTTTTCCCCCCACTGGTAACAGTGTATTTTGTTATTAAGATAAAAAATACTTCGTGTACGCAGCATTTGGGCTCTGGAACCTTTGGGATGCCCAGATACCAGCTAGCATTGCCCTAATTTCAAGTAGATTCCTTAATATATTGAAATAAGTTGTGCATCGTCTGCTGCGTTGAAAACATATGTGAACATACCAAAGTACTTATTTCAGTCATTGCTGTGGTTTCATGACCTACACAGTTCTTGCACGGAGCTAGACAGACTATATAAAGAGATTGTAAATTGCTCTATGTGATGTCTTACCCTCTTACTGTGACCGTGTACTCCATCTCGTGTGCTGGAATGAAGCGAACAGGAACATTGTGGTAAAACACAAGGTGGAATTACAATAAGCTTGTTAGAAAATGGAGACCTGCATGTATGTACGTGAAACCTGTACAAAGAAAGGTGTACGTGTAGGTACGTACATGTGGGAAGTAATTCCATGTGAGAGAATTCTAGATCTGCACAGTCAACACAGGAATGCAGTTTTGTACAAAACAGAATACCTGTGTTCGAGGGATACTGGCAGCCCTATATGGGGATTACTTACGTGCTTTTGTAAGACAGATAACCCAGTCATTCTGAGCAGTTTAAAAGAATGATGATGTAGTTCCAGTAGTTTTGAAACTATGTGCTGAAACCTAGTCTCTTCTGAATTTTTGCCTTAGGCTGACTGACTCCGTTGGCTAAGCGTGAACCTCTTCATAGTAACACTTCTGTGTTTGGGGTATTTAGACAGATTCTCTGCTTGTCTGTTTGCAGTGCCGTTAAGGGTGTGAGCTCATAGTTTTAGCATCAAATTTTGGATAGTTTCTGAAGTGTTTATTTTAACTTACTTTGCAGGAAGTTATGATCTTTGAGACCTTTGAGCCCTGTCATACTTGGTTACGACTGACCACTTTGTTCAAAAGTTTATAGTAAAGGGGGTTTTTTTGGTTCTTTCTTTTTTTTTTTTTTTTCCCTTCATCTTGCCATGATAGCCTCCATGTTCTGTTTTACTTGTTAAGAATTATATGAATCACCATACCGTGCAAGTAACACATGACAGAAATCAGTAGTCCCAACTTTAAATCTTTCTTGACCCTCTGTATTACCCCATTTAGAGCCAGACAAGCTTGTAGAAAACAATGAAGAATTCAATGTAAATTATTTTTGATGGCCAGAGCCGCTTTTATTTTAGTACTCACATTTTCATCTGTGTTTCATTTGCCTGACTGACTATCTCCAGAAAGACTTTGTAAGCGAAGAAACGCAATCAAAGTTGCATTAGAACTTACATTAGCTTTGAAAAAAAAAATAATAAAAAGAAAATCATAGCATCACATGCATGAATAAGGACATGGTTTGCCTTTAAATATCCATTATTATTACCGTTGATGAAAAAAAGAAGAACATGTGCTAAAAGGAAAAAAAAATGTGGTAAAAAGACAAGTCAAAAACTGGTTGGTGTTTCCTAATTATATTTGTAATGGTAAAATAATTAAACTGAGTTTTATTCTTTAAAATTCTCAGATGCAGATCGACATTGTGAACTTGCTGGAAATCCTCTGAAGATAAAAAGCACCAGAAAACCACTGTCATGTATCATTGGGTATTTAGGTGCGTATCTGCCTCCAGAGAATAATGAACCAAATGAGCATTCACTGTGTACTGATACTTAGAAATCCTATAGGCATAGAATGAGAGATTTACACTTTTAGTAACAAGAAAACTATAAAGTTAATAAATTAATAAAATTTCTGATCTGCTTTCAGTTGCAAAACTGCATGATTTGAACCTGCAGGATGTAGGCAGAAGGCCTTCTGATACTGGTTTAAAATGGCAGAGTGAAACCTGATGTGAACAGAATGTGAAAAATGGTCTGGTAGTCTAAATAAGTGCTCAAAGGGGAGATATTCGGTGTGCTCAGTGCTGCTCTACTGTGCCCCTTGAATCCACCTGTAATATTCAAAAGGAGGAGACCTCAGCCACACTAAGACACTGGTGCTTTAATTTGATGACATACTTTTAAAAGATGCGATGAAATCTGTACTAAGATGTCAGCTGAGAGGAACAATGAACTCACAGAAGATAACGGGGAGAGAAGTTCTGATCATTGTGATTTCTTACTAAAAAAATGAAAATAGTCCTCTTTGCAAGGAATCACCACTGACTATTAAGTATTTACACAGTCATACAATAGTTGAGATACCCAGAGGGTTTCTATTAATCCCCAGATGAACATAGAAATCAATCCATTGATCAGAGAAGCAGTGAATAATTCTGCAGTGTATTAATCCAATTCTACAGAAGTGAAGCTGAGGGTAGAGCTCATTCTAGATGTTTTTCTCAAAATTTTCAATCAACAGGAGGTTTTTTTGTACTCGAACAAAGTAAACAATAACAGTCTCTTGACTTACAGAAATAGAAACCAGCTATTAATGTAGTTAGAATTATTCTTTCAGAACATCAATTTTAACAAAATCCAGACTTCAGAAAACTGGATAATGAAGAATTAATGCCCACTCTCACTGAATTTTGATTCCACCTGCCCTGGAGTTTAAGAAAAAAGTTAGTGATAATTTCCTACAGGCATGTTACGTGTGTTGTCATTAGAGTGGATGGGGAAAGGACTGCTTCGGTTGACTTGGTGGAGCTGTGGTTCTAAGGGGGGCAATCAGACAGGAGATGGTTCATCCGGCTGACCCGTCTGTGCAGTCAAAAGGAGACATGGCACCATGTGTAATCTTAGAAGATACTGCGTGGTTTTAGTGCCATGTTAATTAGTCAGCGAGGGGTCATCTTCATACCTCTGGGAGCAAAAATCTGTAGGTTTAATGGGAGTACCTGGATAAACAGTGTCAGACAGCATTATGTGTACTTAGGTGAAAGGTTTTGTAGAAGATTAACAGTGCTAAAATATACCAGGTATCTGCCTTAGCATTCGACTATGGGAAGTGAAGGTATCCCACTGCAGTTGAAGGCGAATAATAGGTGTTACAGGGATATGAAGTGTACCAGTGTAGTTAAATACCTGCATCTGAATTAGCTGTACAAAGATGGCTAGAAAGTGGTTTTTTCTTTGCCATTTGGCTTGATGTTTTTTTTTTTTTTAGTTTAGTTTGTTTGTGGAGTTTTTTGTTTATTTGGGATTTTTGCATGTTCTAGTGAATAAGTAATGCTTGCCTTATTTTTCTCATAAAGTTTAGTTTTACATGTTATGTCATAGCTTATACAGGAAGCATTTGTTTTCTTCTTAAAATTCCTTCCATGCCATTCCCACAGATATTTATTGGCATACAGTTAACTGTAGGTCTCAGGTCATTACTGTTTTCAGCCCTACTGGTAAGGCAGAGAGGATTTCAGTGCCCTGCACATCCTGGTTCATCGCTTTCCTTTATCCCTGTTCTACTTCTTGGCTGCCAGTTCCACAGGTGGGGTAGGTTAAGCATGAAAAGTAGGCCCTGCCCTCTAGAGAGCTGGGGCTAATCCCCTGTAATCTCTCCAGTCATCGCTGTGCTTAGTAAACAAACCGCTGGTGAGCCCCTGGCTAATTAAATGTCCTATATTACCTCCTAGTTGTGAGGAAACCAGGCTAACGTTTCCAGCTGGGATGCATGTTGAGGAAATGAGATGAGAGAGAGGTGCAGCTCTGGAATCTGGGATGCTTATTTAAGCGACTCAGTAGGAGGCTTCAACTTTGTGTGCTTTTTTTTAACCCTAGTGACATTAGTGGAAACAGGAGAAATTCTTAAGAGTTTTTATTGCTGTTTACTTGTTTGAGGCTGCAACCTGGTCTTAGGAAAACAGTTCCTAATAATGTCCTTCAAGTATTGTTTCTTACTTCTGTCTTATTTTTATTTCGGAAATGGTGATGCAGTCTGAATCTGGCCAACTGGTTAGTTGTTGTGTGGGTAAAGGGATAATTTGGTTTATTTGGATATTGTAGTTAGCAGAAGGTGCAGGGAGATAGGAGGTTTTCGGTGAAGTACTATGCAATAGAACAAGGATAAGAGCAGCAGG